GACAGGCAGACTAGGGTCTGCCCTTGTCTGTGAAACAGCCCACTGGGGACAGTGTCCTCCATGCCCCAAGCCTGAGTCCCCTTTGCCCCTCCCCAGATGCCCCTTACCCTGAGTTTCCTCGGTGTCCATTGGATGCCAGTATGAAGAGCAGCACAGCTTTTCAACTACTGGGTTCAGACCCCAGCTCTGCCAAGTGCTGACCAAGTCATTTAACCTCCCGACACCTATTCACCATCTGTAAAACAGGCACGGTTTCCTCCTATTTCTTTTGCTTTACTCTGAGGATTATATTAGTGTCTATAAAGCAAGTGGCAAACAGTATTCACTAAACTCTTGTTGCTTCCTTCCCCACCCCCAGTCTGCAAAGCCCGTTCCTCCTCTATCCCACTTTCCCTCTAATTGCAGAATCCTGAGCCCTGGCTCTTTCCTGCAAACACCAAAGACTTGCACTGCAAAGACTCAGATGGAAGCCAGCAGCTCCAAACTTAATAATAGCAGCTAACATTTAGAACACTGCTTTGTACCAGGCTGGTGGAAAGTGCCTGAAATGCTTTTTCTTGTTAAATCATCTCACTAATCCTGCAGTTTCCCGAGGTTTCAGAGACGGTGAGCAACTTGCCCGAGGTCACGCAGGAGTATAGGGTCAGAGCAGGACCCAGCAATCTGGCTCTCGAGCCCAAGCAGAGGGTCCCTCTCCAGGGCCTGCACCCACCGTCGGTCCCACCGAGAAACAAGCCCGAGCGACGCCCAGCAAGCACCGTCTTGCCGTCTTGCCGAGGGCAGGCCGGCCCAGGGAAGGGGACTCCCGCGGGCCTGGCCTGGGGCGGGTGCGCCCCCTGGGGGAGCCAGCGGGGAGGGTCCGAACCCTGCCACCGCGGTGGGCCGGGAGGAGGGGGTGCTTGGAAGACCCTGATGCCTCCTGCAGGTGCTCGGCTCTTCTTGAGGGACGGCAGTTCAGTGAAGTCCCCAAGTTAAACCCACGTTCAAACCCAGACTGTTTGAACATGTGTGCCCTGTGAGGATCTAGAAGGAATGGGGAACAGGTGGGTGAGAATTTCCAAACAAGGGCTCCCAGAGGAGCGTGCTTCACAGGCGACAGTCCCTGGTGCCGGTCAGTGGACATCCTCTTCAGTCCTGGGCTGGTCAGAGGCAGGCAGGTGAGGTGAAAGCTGTTCGTGTCCAACTCAGAGAGTGTCAGAACGTGAGGGGAGTAGGACAATCGCCTGTCACAGAGGAGGAAATTTCCAGTTGAGAGGACCACTCAGTGGTCAAAAGGATTCTGCTCTGGATACAAAACTGGAATTAAAAGAAAACTCTGAGATTTCTTTGATTGAAGTTTCTGTGTCGAGAAACTATGATTCTATGATGGGTGCTGGAAAAGAGCACCTTGTGAGTCCTCTCATACCTGGGGTTAATCAGAGGATTACCGAAGCACATTTGGAGGGAATATTGAGAAAGACTGGTGGTGGGGGCTGGGGAGAAGGGGTGGATGTGGTGGGGGAAGACATGATGGGGACTTGAGACTAGCCTGGCGGATCTTGAAATGTGGCCCCCAACCAGCAGCTTCAGCATCACCTGGGAGCTTGTTAAAAATGCAGATTGAAGGGCTGGCCCAGTGGTGTAGTGGCTAGGTTTGCGTGCCCACTTTGGTGGCCTGGAGTTTGTGGTTCGGGTCTCTGGTGTGGACCTAGCACAGCTCATCAAGACACCCTGTGGTGGTGTCCCACATACAAAATAGAGGAAGATTGGCACAGATATTAGCTCAGGGCCAATCTTCCTCACCGAAAAAGAAAAAGTGCACAAGCAGATTAGGGGACTCCCATCCCAGACCTAGAGAATTAGAAACTCTATGGGAAGGGCCCAGGAATCGCTCTTTTAACAAGCCTCCCTCCCCTGGCACCCCTACCCCACCCCTCCAACCCCCACATCCCCCCTACCCCCAGGGATTCTGATGGAAGCTAAAGTTTGAGAATCACTTGTCTAGAGTTCACCTTATTCTGGTTGTTCTTGTCCTCTGTATGCTTACCACATAGTATCAATTTTATTACTGTTAATATAACAATATAGCATTCATTAATCAGGCACTTATGAGTCAACACGAAAATGAACAAGACATGGTACCTTCTCAGCAGGAATTCGCAATCCAATGGGAAACTTGGCTCTAACCCAGGCAAACTGTGATCTGCTCTACAGCAGAGGGATAAACACAATAAGGGTACGGAGGAAAGAAGGGATTCATTCCCACCGATAAGCTGAGGGACAGCATTACCGAAACAGTGACACGTGACTTGGATCTTGAAGGATGTGTGCGATTTCCAGCAAGCAGAGAAGGAGGAATTTATTATTACTTAATAGCAGTTCAAATATTCTTAAACTGACGGTTTTCTTTCGTGCTCAGTAGAGCAGAATAGCTGTTATCCTTGGTATCTATTATTTACCCAGCAAATCAGACAGCCTCATTTGCTGGTGGCTCTGGACGCTAACAGGAAAGAGAAAATAAATGATCTTCATTAGTTCTCGAGGTCACTAATCACCCGAGGTCATGGCTGGGGGCTGTTAACTCAGATGCCACTGGTTTGGAGTAGGGGAGCAATATGCAGAAAGGAGGAGTACCTGGTGATGGCAAGAACATATTGCTGTGTGTAGAGGGTTAGATGCCTGAATGGGGAGAGGGGAATGGAGAGACGTCAACAGAGAGAAGCAATGCAGGAGGAATTGCCTGAACTTGGTGGCTGCTGAGCAGAGGCCATCGGAAACGAGGAAGCAGCAGTAGTTCAGGAGTGTCTACACTCCGCCCTCTAAATTAAATGTCAGTAAGTCTTTCAACCTGAAAGCGTAAAAGGAAATTTAAGTCAGAGTTTCCGTTATTTAATACTGCAACTTAGAATATTCAGAGCTGGGTCAGTGCTGAGACCCAGGCAGGCTTGAGGAGTCAGGCTGCATCACCCAGCAGAGAGATCAGGGCAGTCCAGCTCCTGGATCAGTCAGGGTCTGATCAGAAAAGAGAAAGCACCCAGCCATCTGAACAGGGAAAGTTTAAGATACAGAACTATTAACTATAATAGTGCACTGGAGTAACAAGGGAGTGGCTAGCAAGAAGCAGAGACAACTCTAGAGAATATAGGCATAGCAGATACGAGGAGCAGCTGCTGCCCTCAGTGCTGCCGTGGTGCACAGGACGGCAGGGTTGCTGAGATGCTGCAGCAGCAGAACTTGCCGGGAATCGGCCTCCAGAGAGCTGGGGAAAGCGGCTCATGGGGAGGTGTCCCTGGAGGCACTCTGCTACAAAGCTGCCAGAGGTGGGGTGCCAGAGGTAGCTGCTGGCCTCTGGGGCTGCAGGAGCCTGGGACTGGAGAAGCTGCGCCTGCTGCAGGAACCTGCCGAACAAACACACTGGAACCGGGAGGCAGACCTCTTTCCTTCTGCAATGTCTCTCCAGCGCCCTCTACTGACAAAGTTTTAATGCCAGTTGGGAAAGGAAAAATGTTTCAAGGTCCCAGCCCTCTTTTCACAGAGCAGTCAAAAAGGGCAAATCTGGAGCAGAAAAGCAATAGATTGATAACCAGGACACGCTATAACTATCTTAGAATATTCAGGACATTGGAAAACAGTATCCTTTGATTTGCATAGGGCTCACGTCACCTGTAGAAAACAGCTTAATCTTGTCTACTATCGGAGTTTTGGCAGGTAGAGGCATGCCAGATGGGCACCTGGCCACGTGTGCAGCAAAAACTGTATGAAAATTCATGCTCTTTGATCATGATTTCCACTCCTAACGACGCAAGATAAGCAGATGCAAACAAATGTTCATTGCCATGCTATTTATAAGAGGAAAAAAGTGCTTAAAATTTGACAACAGGAGACTGGTTAAATAAATTATGGTGTGTTTACAAGATGGCATATGATGTAGTCTTTAAAAATGATATTTTAAAGCAATTTTTAATGACATGGGAAAATACTCATGATATAACATAAAAAGGGGAAAAGGATGAAAAGGTATCTTTAGTATATTCCCAATTATGTTAAAATAGAAAGGGTGTGCGTGTGTGTGTGTGTGTGTATGATGAAACAGAAGGAAATTATAATAGTGTCTATCTCTGGGTAGTGATTAATTTTTGTTTTCTTCTTCATATTTATGTATATTTGCGATGTGTCCTAGACTGAGTGTGTGTTACTTTTATAATTAAAAGAAAATGTGCGATACGTTTTAAGGAAGATGCACATCTCCAGCATTCAGCAGCAGGAGAGAAGCTTGACTTCACAATTCCTTCTGAGCGCTTACATCCAAGATCTGATTTCTCTCCAGGAGCGCAGACATTTCACTGCCTATTTACAGCTCCACTGGGGTGGGGGCGGGGGTCTATTTCTGCCCTTCTCATTTCCTCTTCATATCTCTCTTGAATCTTTCCTCTCTTTGTGCAAGAGGAGAGAATACAAACATGCAGCAGTGTGATAACACTATCTTCTAAAGCTCTGCTCCTGACAGCAGAGCACTCCCCGGTTTATTTACTGACTGCGGAACCTCCCTCCCTCCCTCCTCCTCAAAACCTCCCTCCCGCTCTGCTAGATATTTGCCAATTCATTTGTGTGCAATGTTCCCTCTGAAACAATCACTGGGACAAGACGAGACTCCTTTTTCTCTGTTTTTCCCTTGCCAGATCAGCATTCCAGAATCCTATTTTTCAATAGAACTCAGTTATAGTAAAGAAATGCATGCAACATAACAAGAAAATCTGATGTTCACATCAAATAATAAAGAATATTAATCAATATGCATTTTAATAGCTTCCTATATAATAAAAGGAATTGCATTTTCATAGGACACTTTTAATAAATCACTGCGTGACCAAACCCTTCCTCTTCTTAGGAATCTGAGGAAAGGTCAGCCATGTAATGACAGGTATCACCGAGGGAATAATGGGAGAGGAAGAATAATGGGAAAGCTGAGGGGAGGGGGGTTGAAACCATTAACCATTGTGCCCCCCCCACCCCCCGCCCCATGCACACTCACACACTCAAGAGGAGATGAAAATGGAACAGAAGACAGCCTGGAGAAAAAGCAAGAGAACTGGAGACTGGTGGGGATCTCAGAGAAGAGGGTGTCATTTCCCACCCAGCTTAGATCCGAATGCGATGGAAGACAATAGTCTAGCACTGTCCAGCAGAACTTTCTGCAACGATGGAAACATTCTATATCTGCACCGTCCAGTGCAGTAGCCACTAGACACATGTGGCCGTTGAGCCCCTGAAATGTGGCTAGTGTGACTGAGGAGCTGAGTTTTAAATTTAATTTAATTTAAATTTAAATACCTATATGTGGCTCGTGGGTACCCTTTGGGCAGCACCGAGAGAGACATAGTAAGTTTAGCGATCTGGGAGCAGAGGAGCTCTGTTCTCTCTTTCTCTCCAGAACTCTGGTACCTCGCTGGAGTTTCTCATGTCCTCATGCAGTGGGAGCCATGGAATAAAAATTGGTGAATGGGATATCAGGGACACAGAGGTCCTGCGACAGCCTCACCTAACTGACCGTGGTTCTGAAGTGGTGTGGGGGACCAACCACATTTTCCTGAGCTCCCCTCCCTCACAATGTACAGAAGTTAAATAACAAGAGAGAAACGCTAACCTCCAGGGTCTTTTGGTCATAAGGAGGGGCGGCTGCCATAGAAAGTGGTGTGAGCTCTAGGATTGTGGCCATGTGAGAACACAGACCAAGAGCTGAAGCCTTGCTATAGTGGATACTGTGGTGCTCGCCCCATATTCCCTTTCCAGGGGACACATGCATCCCCCAGCTGCTGGGAATGTTAGTGGCAGCCAGTATTCAGGGGGAATTGCCCTGGCTGTGAGAAACTGCCCCGTTGGTGGGAGCAGTCCACAGCTAGTGCCCGGCTGATGTAGGGATCCAATGCCCACCCTCCCTTGCTTCAATTTGGGACAATTTTAAAGGGTCATTTCAACTCCAGGGCTCCTCCTAGGATGTGCTGAGGCCTCAGTTGCAACTGGGTTACAGCCCAGCTTCTGTCCCTGCCCAGCCCTGCCTTCCTCATTCCCTTACAAGTGCATCTGCCGCAAACACTTTCCAATAAACACTCTGTATGGGTGGATAGTGTGCAATTTTCCATCTCAGAATGGGAACCCATGCTAGGATAGGCAGTGTTGGGAGTGGTTATGGGAAGCCAATCCTAAAAAGGGATTTGGGAAGTGGATCATTTGCTGGCTAGCTGGCAATGAGGACTTCACAACTAGTGGCTGGTGGAATACAGACAGCCCCTGGCATGCTGCAGCAATTGTTAAAACTTTCACTGGTGGTGAGCTGGGATGGGATACCAGTAGAAGGGGACACACTGGCAGGTACAACATCCCAGCACTGGAGAGGTATGAGGGAGATGGTGACCGGAAAGACAATGGAATTGGGTGTGGCTGAGAGCTGCTGAATCATTGAAGAGAGATAAAGGCCAGCACAGGGGGTCACTCACCAACTCAAGGCAAAACGTGAAAGCAAGAAGGCCTCCTTGGCAGTATTTAAGGAGACCCTAATCCTGCAACCAGAGGGCAGCCAGAGCAGAGGACCAGACTCAAGCTGAGGTCTTAATCATAATCATGGAGCATCAGAGAATCCTGAATTTTCAGCCTGATGGCTTTCTTTACGGCCTTCCATAGTCAAAGGCCTAAAAGGAAAGAAGGGGATTCTGAGACTTAAGATGTGGATATTTGCGTAGACACAGTCAGGAACTTTGAATGCTCAGATTCCCCTGAATACTTTCTAGATGTAGCAGTACCCCTGGCCTAGCCCTTTAGAGTTCAATTTAACAACAATTTTTATAGACTACATGCTGATGCCACCTGTCCGTGAAAACACCCAGGGAGATGGGCAAGGCTGGTATAATTTTTCCCATCCTTCAAATGAGGGAATCAGGGCCTGGAGAACTGGGAACACTAAAAGAATGACTCTAACCCAGGACTTCTGACACCGATCCTAATGCTTTTCTCATTAGGGAGGCAGAGTCTGGCTACGTGGCCACCAATGCAGTTGCCTTCTGCTCCAGGGCACACACTAAACTACGTTTCCCAGGCCGCTTGCCCTTGGTTTGGAGCCTAGTGACTGAGTTCCGGACAACGGACTGAAGACAGAAGTGGTGTCGCCACTTCCAGACCTGCCTGCCTGGCCTAAAACACCACCTATGTGCCATCTCAGTTCTCTCTTCTCCACCCTCAGTGGCTTTGGCAGGTCTGTTGAAGATGGTGGCACTGCCAGATACGTATTTACTTTTATAGTTCTGTTTATAATAGGTAAAAAGAAATAAAAGTAAGGCCTGGTAAAGAAAAATTAGCAAATCATAGGAAAGCATGTATGGGAAAAATCATAGAGGTGTTGCATGCACAAGAAACACTGCATTACAACCTTCCACATTCCTATTTCAAATGCAGCATAGTCATTGGGAGTGAGTATAAGAGTGAAGAGACGAAGGAGCAGGTGAATCTGGGGAGACATCATGGGAGAGAGACCCTGGAGCATCCTGTGGAGGCTGTAAAGGTGCGTCGGGGGGATGGGATGAGCAGTTCAGGCTGGTCCCATTGACCCAGGAATTAATAACCAAGCAGTTAATGTGTACATAACTCTTTCATTCCAGGTCTGGTCCCCAAAATCTGAATAAACTCTCGTTGTGGGCAGAATGCATACCTCTCCACGTCTGTGTCCCCATGGCTTCAGGCCTGGGGCCACACACTCAAGAGGCCTTCAGGAATGCCAGGCACAGGAACTCTGCGAAGGAGCAGGTAAGGTCTGGGGTTTCAGTGCACCCTGAGCGCTGATGGGGACACTCTCCTGGGGGCCCCAATGGAGCCACCTGCTGGAGTGCTTCTTCAGGTAGGTCTGGCTACCTGACCTGGGAGGTAGAGTTTTAGTAGCCTGGGGACACCCCTTTCTCTGTAGCCCATGACTCCTGCTTCTCTGGGTGTGTGTGGGAGGGATGGGACTACGGAGTTCACAGAGCGGGTCAAAACAAAAGAGGCTGGCAGGGCAGCAGTGCCAGGGGAACCACCCATCTCTGCCTTCTGCGCCTGAGGCCTCCTGGGCAGCTGCAAGGTGAGGAAATTTGAGAAGAGGCAGATTGGGTTTGCTCCCCTGGTTCTCCCGGCAGCACTAGATAAAAAGAGGCAGGACGGCTTTCCCACACAGCTGTTTCGTCATTCTCTAGGTACCAGACTTGGCTCCCTGGATCCCTGAGATGCCCAGAGGAGTGCACAGTCTAGTGCTGGAAGCAGCAGGTAAGTGACAATTATATCTTAAGGCAAAGGAAGAAGAGCAGAGGTCCCCGCCAGGACTGTGGGGCACAGACACAGAGGATGTTGTTGAGCAGCCCTGTGAGGTGAGGGCCCTCCCGGAAGTGACACAAGGGCAGATCTAGAGGGGGAGGAGGAGGAGGAGCAGAAGGAATCGGCAGCAGCCCTGGGGCTCATCCTGGTTCTCACCTGGCACTAACATCTACTGAAAAAGCAGGAGTGATTCTTTCTTCCCTCCTCCCCCACACCCTTTTCCCTCTTGTTTGTTCCTAGTTTTCCCAGGTGGCCAAGATGAGGGGTCTCTCCCTTCTGGACTTTTCCTGAAGCAGAGCACCAAGCAGTCTTGAGAGGCCTGTCTGCTGTCACAGCATAGGTCACCATCGAGGGATTCTGATGAGTGTGCACGAGGGGCAGGGCCTTTGAGAATCAGGCAGGGGACCCTGTCCCCACTCTACTCAAACTGAATGGGGAAGGAAGGAGGCCTGGGAGCCACTGTCACTCTCACTCTGCTCCAGCTTCCCTGAGATGGAAGCCAGGACTCAGGAGGATGACTGAGTGTGGAAAAGAGGGAGGCTGAGAGCCCAGGAGGGCATTCCCAACCTCAGAAAAGATCCCTGGGTCCCACAGGGACCTCAAAACTGAAAGATACTATACCTGGAAACACCACAGACCTGAACAATGAGGAGAACAGTGGCGAGTCTGATAAACTGGAGAGGAGAGACCCTTCGCTGATCCTCAGGGCTCCGTATCAGCATTCCGGGGTGCCAGGACACCCTGGCAGGGGAGGGGCCCGACTGTGCCCGTGAAGGATCCTGTAGGAAGGAGTAGGTCTTGGAGTCAGAATTAAGTTGATTTAAAGAGAATCAATTTAGCAGACTGAGATTCACACACATTATATATGCTTGATTGTGTAACTTCCTCTTTCCTTCCTCAGCAGTTTTAAAGGTGGATTATCATTTGTATAAGCTAGAATTTCCTAATTAATAAACTTTACTTTTTAGAGCAGTTTTAGATTCATAGCAAAATTGAGCAGAAAGTACAGAGAGTCCGCATATACCGCCCGTCCCCAAGCATGTACAGCCTTCCCTACTCTCCGCATCTCGCAGAAGAGTGGTACGTGGGTTACAATCCATAAACCTAGATTGACTCATCATTATCACCCATAGTCCGTGGTTTACATTAGGGCTTACTCTTGATGTTGTACATTCTATGGGTTTTGACAAATGTGTAAGGACATGTATCCACCATTGTAGAATCAGACAGAATAGTTTCAATGTCCTAGGCATCCTACATGCTCTTCCTGTTCGTCCCTCCCCACACTGTCTCCCATCCCTGCAACCTCTCATCTTTTTATTGTCTCCATAGTTTTACTTTTTCCAGAATGTTATATAGTTGGAATCATACAGTATGTAGCCTTTTCAGACTGGCTTCTTTCACTTAATAATATGCATTTAAGGTTCTTCCATGTCTTTTTAAGGTTAACTCATTTCTTTTTAGTGTTAAATAATGTTCCATTGTCTGAATGTACCATACTTTATTTATTCATTCACCTACTGAAGGACATCTTAGTTGCTTCCATAATTTTGGCAATTATGAATAAAGCTGTTATACACATCTGTGTGTACATTTTTGTGTGACCAGAAGTTTTCAACTCCTTTGGTTACATACCAAGGAGCCTGACTGCTAGACTGTAAGGCAAGAGTATGTCACTGTTTTGGATTTTGGCCACTCTAACAAGTGTGGAGTGGTATCTCATTGTTGTTTTAGTTTGCAATTCCCTAATGATGCGATGTTGAACATTCTTTCATATGCTTACTTGTCATCTGTATATCTCCTTTGGTGATGTGTCTGTTCAGGTCTTTGCCCCCTCCCCCCCTTTTTTTTTCAGTGAGGAAGGTTGGCCCTCAGCTAACATCCATTGCCAATCTTCCTCTTTTTCTTGAGGAAGATTGTCCCTGAGCTAAGACCTGTGCAAATCTTCTAAAATTTGCTTTAAAATGGCCAGGAGAAATCATTGATGAAATAAGATTGGCCATATGTTGATAATTGTTGAAGATGAGTGATCAAAATATAGCTCATTATACTATTTTCTCCATATAACAAAAAGTAAAAAAATGTATTATAGTCACCAAGATAGACCATAGCACGGCTTGATGAGCAGTGTATAGGTCCATACCCAGGACCCAAAACTGTGAACCTGGGCCGCTGAAGCGGAGTGTGTGAACTCAACCACTAAGCCACTGGGCCAGCACCTAGCCCATTTTTTAATTAGATTCATTTTCTTATTGTTGGGTTTTAAGAGTTCTTTGTATATTTTAGACAATACTCGTTTATTTGATGTGTCTTTTGCAAATATTTTTTCCCAATCTGTGGCTTGTCTTATCATTCTCCTGACATTGTCTTTCACAGAGAAGTTTTTAAATTTTAAGGAAGTCTAGCTTATCATTTCATTTAGTTCAAAATATTTTTAATGCATCTTGAGATTCCTTTTTTGACCCATGTGTTATTTAGAAGTGTGTTGTTTAATCTCCAAGTATTTTGGAATTTTCCAGCTATCTTTGTCTGATTGATTTCTAGTCTAATTCCATTACAGTCTGAAAGCAGACATTGTATGGTTTCTATTCTTTTAAACCTGTTAAGGTGTGTTTTATGGCCAAGAATGTGGTCTATCTTGGTGACTGTAGCACATTTTTCACTTTTTATTATATGGATAAAATAGCATAATGAATTATACTTTCGTCACTCAGCTTCAACAATTATCAACATATGACCAATCTTATTCCATCGATGATTTCTCCTGGCCACTTTAAAGCAAATTTTAGACACTATATCATTTTATCCATAAATACTTCAATATATATTACAATGCAATCATCACCTTTGAGAATGTGATCCTTTGGAGTTCAGCTAAAACAGCCTCTACCAAGAGTCACCAATATCCTGCCTTTAACCGCCCCACCCGCTGCCCCTCCCCTTGGCCAAAGCTAAGTAAATCTAATTCAGCTCTGTGCGTTGAGAAGATTCTCGAGGCTGATGATGTAAACATGCCTTTAGGCAGCTACCTTAGCTGGGCAAAGGGATGGTATGGCAGTTGGCAGTCTGAATCCAGCTGTCACCACTTTTGAGTCATGTAAACTTGAACAAAGCATGTCACTTTTCCTCTCTGATTAAATGGAGATCATAAAACCTCACCAAATTGTTATGAAGCTTAACTAAGACAGTAGAGGTGAAAACCATGTTAGTCATTATTACCCTGGTTTATGCAGCAACAAAACCACGTTAGGGAAGGAGATTTTCAATTAGCCTTTGCTACAGGGGCCTCTTGCAAACAGGAAGCCCTATGCCCTCTTTAGAGATGAGTCCAGAAACCCCCATGAAACCACAAGTCCCTGGGCACCAATTCTCAGGACAAGGCTGAGTTTGGGCCCTGATAGAGACTGAATCTTGAACATGGGATACTAGGCCACCCAAACTGTCCATCATGAAGTCGGTATTATTTGATGCACTGAGTCCTAAGTTGAAGCAGCACTCAGTGTACAACGGAATGGCATATACATGACAAGGCTCAAGCAGGTCTAAAAGCTCAAGAAATTTGCATGAGCAGGTGACTCACACGCCCACGGTTCTTGCTCCTACTGTTTTACCATTTCTCTCTCAACCCAAATCTATGGGCTCATGGGAAATTATGAGTTGACAGAGGAAGAAAAAGTGCAGGCTTAGTTTGCAGCTGGGTGTGTATAACGCGGCCGCAAGTGAACAGCCGCTGTTTTACATCTTTCCCTCAGGTGCAAGTCTGAAAGACAAGCGTGAAGGCAAATCCTGCCGAAAGGCAGAGCTTTAAGCAGTACATTTGTTGTTCACTTCATGCAGAAGGAGAGATGGCCGAGGGTAAGAAACTATACCGATATACAGTCAATGGTTAATGGATTGAGAGATGGTCATCAACTTGGAGAGAAGAGGTTTAGAAGACTGGTGACAAGGAGGTCTGGTTCTCTGCCCCTCCGTCTTTGCCTTCACCTGCTTCCCCTTTATATCTCTGGTCTTCCTGCTGTCCCCTACACTGTCTTCTTTTTCGGGCTCCTCATCATTGCAGCTTCTAGTCTTCACAAAACAAATCAACCACAATGCCACCAACACCACCCTACACCCATAAACAGGGTGATCACCTCCCTCCACGCAAACGGGCCCCCAGAATTTGGATTTGCCTGATACCTTAGTTGTGTACCTCTCTTGATTCTGGAAAACATTAGGTGTGTTCTCAGAAATGGACTGTTGTGTTCTGTCCTGCCTTAGGAGCAGTCCATAGTCCACAAGGTGTGGCGTAAAGAGCCTGGAGCCAGCCTTGGTTCTGAATTCCAGATCTAGATATTAGCAGTGTGGCCTTGAGCTTCACTTCACTAAGCCTCCAGCTTACTCATCTGTGAAACCGGGATAATAATATCTACCTGATAGGATTCTGTGGAACGTGAATGAGAAGGAATATAAAACAACACAAAGCACAGTCCCTGGAAAATAAGAACTCAAAAATACCAATTTTTCTTCCCCATTTTGTACACAATACTAGATATATTCCCTAAAGAACTTGGTTTTGGACAATTTGACTTTTGAATATTTCTGTGTTCCCAGAAAACAGTATTTGTATGTGAGTTGTATGTGTATGTGTGTGTGTGCGTGTGTGTGTACATGCACATGGATACACACACGCACACTGTCCAGGTCTGATAGGTGAGAGTGCCAAAATAAACCTGTTTGTGCATGTGAGTATGTTTATGTGCATTTGCATGCCTATCTTGGAGATTCCAAGGAAATGAATCAGTTAAATTTGATTCAGATAATTGTCTGTTAGTTTTAAAGGCAGGTCTTCATTAAGTTCTCACTCTCTGCTTGCTCTAGATGCCATGAGGCACAAATCAATACAAGATATGGCTCCTGCCTACAAGGATTTACTAATCAAGACTCGACAGAGTGGCTTCGGCACTTAGGGAAATGTATTGACTAAGTAGAAAGACTGCAGAAAGCGTAGGAGTAGATCTAGCCTCAGCTTCAGCTGTATCCGGGGCTTAAACTCTGCCAGGACTCTCTTCCTATGCTTGAGTCTCTTTTCCTCTCTTCATGCTAGCTTTGTTCTCTTAGACTGGTTCCTGCATGGGGTAGGGGATGTGGCCATGGGTAGTCTCAACCTTACACCTCAGAACATAAACAAGAGAGGAAGCAGGCCTCTTTTTTCCAAATTCCAGCGAGAAAAGTCCCACAGAAAAACTGATCATCCAGGCTTAGGTCACGTGTCCGTTGCTGGCCTAATCACCATGCCTTGGGAATTAATGTCTGGCTTGCGCTACCTACCCTCACTGGTAGCCAGAAGTGTAGGGTATCAAGAATGGCAGACTGAGGTGGCTGGGGGGCAGGGGCAGTTTCCCAGGAGGAGGAGGTTGCTGCTATAGGCAGATATAAATAATTATGGTCCACACAGATGCAAAATAAATTTTGCTATGGAGGAAATACACGTCAGTGAAACAATCAGTGAGCAGGTCGGTATTTTCTAAATTCTATTTTGGTGGTGTCAGTAATATATTGTCTTTTACTCAGTTAGAACAAGTGCGTTTGTCTTTTGATAATATAAACAAATAAATTACTTAATTCCGAGTTCCAGAAAAGAAATATTTTCATCCAGTTATTTTCAGAAAATTATCTTGGTTTTACAACTTAATGCATGCCCATGAGATGAACACTTTTTTCAATTGCTTTACAGTAACTTTTATAAAGAGCCTCATTAAGCCATGCTTTCGGGTAAACAGAATTTAAGTCACGTCTC